CCCCAAAACCCCAAAACCCCAGATCACTTAAATTTTCAGTTAATTTGATTTTTCTAATTTGAAGAATTAAAAATAATGGCTCAAAGGCAATAATAATAAGATCTACTTGGTTCCCCAGATCAAACAATGACTACAACTCAATTCATTTCTTAAATATTCCTAGAAGATCCATAGACAGATTTTATCGACCTTTCAGGATAGTAATATACAATTTCAAATAATATTCTGTAATAGAGACATTCAAGATTTTCAAGAAATATATGAGCATCTCGTTAAGTTCCATAATTTGAAAGAATTGAATTTAAGTGATAATGAACTTACTGGGCTCCCTTCTGATTTATCTGGCCTTTAGCAGTTATCAAATCTCAATCTCAATGGAAATAGCTTTGAAGATGTAAGTTTAATTATACCTAGATAAAATCTGATTATCTTACAATTCTACATAGTTCAAATAAACTGTATATGCGCTTAAAACTTTGCCACAGCTATCAAGCCTTTTCATTAATCTTCATCAAGAGGATTAAGTTGACCTTATTATGAGATCCTTGTCTGACCTAGAGTTTTTAAATGGTCTTAAAGTCGAGAGAGAGATCTTAGAAGAGGAAGGAGAGTATGATGAAGATGACGGAAGTTTAAGAAAAAGTAACTCACCTGTTAAAGAGTAGCCTAGTGAGGAAGACTTGGAAGATGAGGAATATGGTCATAGCGTTAATAGATAATCCTCACCAGGAAATCAAAAATAGAACAATAATGTTTCAAAGAATAATGTAAATCAAAACGACAGCAATTTAATGATGGGAGAGAGCAGCAGAAGCTTACATGCTGAAAACTCACTAGCTACATTAGAAGCACATAAAGATAAGATTCTAGATTTAGATCCGGAAGATTTAGAGCAAATAGCACTTCTTTATGATAACATTAGATATCTAAGAAGAAAAAATGCTTAGATGAAAGGCAATAGTGATAGATAACTAGCTTCAGATTTTGATGAGCATTTGAAATTGACAATGAACTAACTTACAAATGAAATAAGGAAATCTAATACACCAGGAAATCAAAATAATAAAACCACTCACATTCTAAATGCTAAGAAACGACTTATCGATATTATCGTGAATAAATATAGTGAATACTTGACTTAAACAGATTCAAAATTAGCAGGGGATGTGCTTTCTGAAGTAGCAAGATAATATGTTCAATTAGTTGATTAAACAATTCATTCACTAAGCCTGTCAAACTAAGTATAAAAGGCTGATGATTCTTAATTGAAGAGGATTATCTAAGAAAAAGATTAAAACTTATAGGATATGACAAAAGAAGCTGAGCGACTTAACCATGAACTTATCAATCAGATTGATGCAAATGATTAAATTTAAAAGAGATATAGTTAGTAAAATGAAGAGCTTAAGAAGAAAATAACCCAATTAGAAAACGAAAATAAATAATTAAAGTAAAAACAAATCTAGTAGCAATAAACAATGCAATAGCAATAGTAAAGAATAATGCAACAACAGAATGAAAACTAGGAGCCTCCACAGAGCTCATTTAGAGGTAGCCAGGCAAATACTCTAAATAATTAGCAAAATAAATCCTAATCAAGATTAAATACAGCTCATTCATAGCAATAGCAAACTCAGAGACCTTAAAGCAAGTAACAGCCAACTACTGTCGCTTAACCTTAGAAAAAGAAACTGGCTGGGCCTATTGGAGTTACTTAGCAAAGAGTTCTTACTTTGAAACAACTTAAAGACACCATTCAAGATATGTATACTCAAAAAGTAAAGTTTGATAAAAAGTGTGAAGAGAATAAAATGGCTCGCGAAACAATGGAGTAATATATGTATACTTATCTGAACTAAAGATATGGTTTAAAAAATCTAATCATTGAATGGGCAGCAGCCTTAATAAATGGAATTAAAACATACCTAAGGGAGGATCATGATGTAGCACTTTTTGGAAAAATACTAAAGAATGAATGTGATGAAGAATTCAGATTTATTCAAATGCATGTAAAGGATACTTTGCTATCCTTATTAAAAGTATTACTAAAGGATAAAAATCCATTTAAGTCAGAAAGCGAAATAAGCAAAATGCTTGATATAGTCCAAAATGGCTCAATGGAAGAATGGATGTGGAGAAAAATTATTGAGAAAATGTATGATCCCAAGGATTATGAAGTGCTAGAGAGTAAATTCTTATAAATAGTTGATGAGAGAAGGACCATGAATAAAAGTAGGCTTGGAGGAACTTCAAATAACATGAGTAAATTCTTGGTTGATAGCGTTGTACAAGCTCAAATATTAGCTGGTAATAAGAAAATGACAAGAGAAGAAATGAATTAAATGATGCAATAGAGAGAAATGGAAAAGCTTACCTATCATGATTTCCAAAAAACAATCTTAGATTTCCAACTGCAAGAACATGAAAAATTCTTGTATAGATTCACATAGTTATACAAAGAGGTAGATGCAGATAATAACGGTATTATCAATGAAGATGAATTCAGGGAACTCATGGCTAAAATGACTGTTATTGAAAGAGAAGATGAGGTCTAGTATTTACTTTAATTAGTAGATCCCTATAATAACTAAAGAATGACATTTAGTGAAATAGTTCATCTTCTATCTAGCCATATGGTACCAATAGATGAATCTAACCCAACTCAAACTATACCTCTACTTGAAAAGTTTGTGAATAAAGTAGGTGTAAATTTCTAGGATTTAGAGTTAGAAATGCAGCAGAGATAAGATCTAGAAAATTATTAAAACGAATAGAATAATCATCAAAATTTAAATGATGAGGATGAAGATGTTGACTATGGACACAATGCAGCTTATTGAAATATACAAGAAAAAATTAAAATTAAGTTGAATGCTTAAACTAAAATGAATATCATAAGCTATAATTTTGAGATAATTACTTTTTCAAAATTATATGATCTCGGGGTTTTGGGGTTTTGGGGTTTTGGGG